GCTCATCACATCCTCCTCTGCTAGGGTGAAGCTTCCTCTACCCTGTTCCCTTCCCAGAAGGTACTTAAACTGAAATTCAGCCCTGAGTCTTTATCAAACTAAACTGACCGGACTCCTAAAGCTTTTCAAAACAGAATGACCCACACAATGCTTTAGCTATTCTTTTGGCTCTCCTCAGAATCAGCTTCAGTCTTTCCACCCCCCCCCCAGTTTCCTCTTTTACATAGTGCTGATCTCAACTGTTCTTACCAAAAACGAAGTACACCTTGTTAAACACACCTTTACACAAACTAAACCAGAACCTCTTAATGCAGCAGCCAGGTCCTACCCTAAAGCATCATCTTCCTTTCAGTCTGATCGAGAAATGGGTACAAGGACCTCTGAGACAAGTGAGTGTAAAGACATAAAACTGTCACCTACCTGCCTGGATCTGGGTTTTGTGTTAAGGCTACATATGCTTCACTGTTGTGTCCTAAATCCAAGTGATGTTTGAAGATGCAAGTCCTCAAAGTAGCCTGAAAACACCAAAGAGCACAAACCAGCATGTTTCAAGTTAAACAACTAAAAAGAAATTCCCATGTAAGCCCCCTGAAGAAACACCTTGACGCAAAAGAAGTGACCTGTACCTGGCTTCTCCAGTCATCCGCCGATTCCATGATAGCCAGAGTAGCCAACTGGATGACCAGCTCTGGTAAACCCACCATGTCCAATAAGCGCAGAACCTGGAGAAGACAATACTCTAGCGCTGGCTGCAGCAGTAGTGGAGAACAGGTTGGGCTGGTGAGGGGGGGGTTGGTTTGTTTGTTTGTTTCTTTTTAAGAGCTATTCCTGCCCCTACTAACCATAAGAGCCATCAAAAGATTTTGCCAATATTTCTAAGCGATTAGACTGAAAAAGGAAAAATTTTGGGAAGTCACAGAGGTCTGAACCAACAGGCCCAGGCTATGGCTTTTTTGGAGGATTCATCTCTGCACATGTGAGCTTTCAGAAACATTTTAGCCTTGATGGTTTCAGTAAATTCCTGTGACAGAGAGGTAAACAATTCTGTCCCCAAGCACGCATGCAGCTGTATTAGAGAGAGAAGTTCCCTCTCCGAGGATACCTGACAAGCCTTGTGTTTTCTGGATTTTAACATCAGGGAATCCCTTACAATAAGCCTACATCCAAGTGTGCAGCCTGTCTGAACTACAGTATTATGCAAGAAGAAAGATCCTATCTCAATTTAAAGACATTAATTTTAAGCTTAACAATCTTCCCCTTAAGCAGCATCTTACATCTAGCCTGGACATGTCTGGCTTCTGCCTCCAGCAGCTGGATCTCACCTCTCCTTTTTCTGCTGGGTAACAAAGTCCTCTGCGATTAGGAAACTAATAGGTGGAAAGTACCTAGCTTTCACACCATAGTCGCCTCGTCATCATTCCCCTAAAGAAAGTAAACAGACTCCACTGAAGTTTCACCTCGCAAAAAAAGTATGTTTTCTGAGTCTCGAGTCGCTTCCCTGAAAGCTGAAGACTGAGCAGGAATTCTCTCTCCAAGCAGTGTCCACGTGGAACAACTTGGTGCCAATTTACTTGGTCTGACTTGGTATGGTCAGCTCAGCCATACCTTGTTGTAGTACTGCAGGCGTGGAGTGGAGACCATCTCACCCTCCTCAGGTTGGATCAGCCTATCCAAGAACTCTTCTCTTCCCACCTCTGACGCAGCTTGGCAGAAACAGTCCAAAGCCTACAAGCAGACCAGAAAGCAGCTTGCGTGTGTCCCTTGAGGGACCAATCCAGCCTACTGAACCGGTGAGAAGAGAGTGCGGCTTGTTCCAGCTGCAGTGGCCAAGACCTGCTGGCCCCAAGCTAATGAGAACCTCCCCAGGAGCAGATCCCATTGGCCCCCCTGTCCAAATCCCATTCTTTGCCCAAAGGAAGCAGAGCTCAAGATGGAAGTTTCCTGATTTGCACTGCAGAAACAAGGCTGGTCCTACCTCCCAAGGAAAGAGGCACCAGACCCCAGAGGGAGGCAGCGCTGGAAGGAGACAAGGGCCTTACCTTGTGCCCCTCACCCATGACAAGGTAGCACCTGCCCATCATGAAGCAGCAGGAGCCCATGTTCACGTGGCACCACGGCTGCAGCAGGCGAATGTATTCCTACAGCAGAGGAAGAACAGAGAGTTTTGATTCAGGTCAACACTCACTTATCACCTGCAGGCACCCAGTACCAGAGAAGGGGTTAGGTCTCTAACACCAAAGCGCTATTTTGGTGGCCTCTTCAGCTGCTGCGCTCACACAAATCCCACTCTTCCCGCTTGAGGGCTGGTTTCCCCAGCCCCGAAGTCCCCTCAGTGCACAGACGGGGAGACATCCCCCACATGCTCCCTGGAAACTACCTGAATAACTGCAGTGTCTGTACAAAGCACCTCAGAAACAGCATTTCACATCCCCAAAAATCAGACATGACACTCTCTACAACTGCACATGAGAGCACGTATGTATGAAGGCAGTGGGAGAACACGCAAAGAGGGCGTTAGAAGAGCAGTATCCGTGCAGCAGGGCAAGAGAGGGAGAGCAGCCAAAGAAGACCATGGATTATAGCCACAAACTGACAGGCATGGGCTGGAGCGCTGACAGCACCAAGGCCACAATACAGACGCTGGCCAGGGCGATACGACTCAACCTGGCCCTGTGCCTGCTCTGTCAGGATAATATAAGGGCTGCAAAGTGTCATCACCTATCAAAACGCAGCTAAAAGGCACGAAGAAAACTCAAAAGCTGGCATCCCTTGTGCCTGGGAGAGTGGCGTATGCTCTTCATACTTGGAGAAGCAGTGATGTCCCACTAGCAGGGCTCTGGTGGAAGAAAAGCCAGGACCTGGTGGTAAAGCCAAGGTTTCACCAGCCAACCTGCACCTTTGCATGTCCGTAAGCCACCGCACGTATGTCCCACATACCCCAGCCACGGGTCCACTAAAAGCCACGTGGCAATGCATCCTCTGAGCCTGGATTCACCGTTCAGATTAGCCAGCTACAACAAGCTTGCTCAACAGCTTGTCATCTAGAATAAGCAACAAGGAGAGGTTTGGCCCTTGTCCCAGGCCACTGCTTTGGTCACTAGACCTTCTCTGTGCCCGCCTGTTACTCGCAGGGTGCTTCCTGTATCTTCACCTCTATTTGGGTCACCGTGCTCACGCTCACAGTAAATCTGGTGTTAGCTCCCTGAGGTCAATGCATTTAATCCAAGTTTACGTGACCGACTGGGATCAGTAAGCATAACAGAAGGTAGTGGGGAGGAGGAAAAGACAGCTCCTGCAGAGATAAAAGTCTCTCGTATCTCCTTGAGGCGGGACACAAGTGAGGCGAAAGCAATGCAAGGAAATTCAAAGCGTGCTCGCACCACGAGAGTGCTCGTACGCCAGAAGGTACAACGATGCTGCCCAAACCGTCCTGGCATTTCCTGGCTTAAAAGCTCTGCAGATTTGACATTCTTCTTGGCAGCAGCATGAACACAAAAGAAAGTAATTCAGCCCCCAGGTGTAAGGGACTGTGAGAATAAAAGGTTCTGCTAAGCACAGGAAAAACATCTCATTAATAACAGCCTGCCTAGCCCTGCGTGCCTCAAGGACTGCTGTCAGTTGGGGAATGAAACGTGTCACATGGGGCTGCAGACAAGAAATCGTGCAGTTCAGAACTAGAGCACAAGCAGCTACAACCACCAAGCCCCTGAAGAGCATGAGAAGAGATGGTGGAGAAACAGTGGTCTGAAATAGGGCAGTCTATGGAGACACCCGGAAAAAAGTAGTTGGCTCACCCCGCTGCCAGGATGTTGTGAGCACAGCTGGGGATGGAAAGATGTTTCTTACACCTGTTTTCGCTAGTAAGAACATTTAAGGAATAGATGAGCCCTCCTGAAACAGTACTTCTGCTGCTGGGTTGATGACAGGCCTCCGAACGCCTAGTCCCATGGGCACTCTGTTTGCCACGGTAGCACAGAAAAGGCTACGGGTACATCAGCAGATAACAAACCATCAGGTTACGGGCTTGCTGTGATATTTAAACAAGCTCCGCAAAGATGTTTCTTGCGCACAGTATCACGCTGTCAGACAAGCCCTGGGAGACTGAACTCTTCCACGAAAAGGGTATGTAATAATCTTGAGCACTTATGCCTGGATTTTTCTGAAAACAGATAAGAGTGGAAATGCATAAGACCACCATCTTGAATCGTTCCTCAACAAACTCTGTGACATTTTCTAGGTATGAGATATTTAGCAAAAAGCTTTTCGGTTAGCAGAGGTTAAGGTGGATGCTACAGGGAACGAGAGGGATGCATGAGGAAGATGGAAGATATTTGTTACCTTACGATTTGTTCACTGCACTGACATTGTGACAGTTTTAAGAGAGATTTCTAACAATTCTCCAAAAGAATCGTTCCTTTCAGTCCATTTCATCTGCAGGAAGAACTTCCAACTCATCACCTCCAGAAGAGAGAAATGGGAGCAGAGCGCTTGGGAAGGTTTGCTCACATCTGAGCTCAGAGAGCAGCAACTAGGGGAAAACAGGATGAACTCCAGCAACGGGAAAAATTACATTCTGGGTAGCTTTTTCCAAGCAGAGGTAAGACAACTCTGCACGCTGTTACACCTCTGTGTTGGCCAAAGCGCAGACCTGCTACTGAAAGAAACCCACATGTGGAAAGAGACTATTGCGCTCGCTCCTGCTCTTCCCTTTTCAGCTCCTGTGAGAGCTGGCACGAAGCACTCACCTGCAGCTGGGTGTACTGACAGCTCCCCATCAGGCACTCTGGGAAGAGGAAGCCAGGATTGCTGGGCCATCTAAGCGGAGGTTAAGGAACAGAGGACAATCCAGTCCGGAGGGCTCGGAGAACAAGTCTGAAAGTCGGCATGCCTCTCGCGCTCAGTTTGTAGGGGGAAAGGAGAGAAGGATTAAGCTGCTCTTTATACATGTCATTATTCTGTAATAAGATTTATTCATATTAGAACAAAACCATTAGTACATCTAATCCACAACTACCCAAATCTTGTTACCCTTCCAAATCTCCCTGCATCGCACCTCGCCAAGCCAAGTTGCTAGAGCTCAAGGGCTTAAAGTCAAAAACTCAAATCCTTTATTGTGCACCTAAACAGGACGGATTCTGTGAAATCTTAAATTACCCACAAATCCTACTAACACTAGCAACAGTCACTTGGTTCAGGAGACTTGTCTTCAAAATGTGAATGTGGAAAATATTGATTTTGGAATTGCACGAGGCTCGGTGGCAGGGATGGCCAATTTACAGTCCCCTAATCCCTCTGCTAGCCCCAACCCTCCTCCTACCGACCCACCAATGCTCTCAGCCTCAGGACCGGGATGTGATACGCAGCCTCCATGCAATCTCACACAACCCACACAGGGGCTCCGGCACTGCCATGCCGTACTGGCTACAGCCTGGCGAGAGCGAGCACCTCGCAGTGGGTTTACAGCCAAGGATACAGGAGCGGCAGAAAGTCAGCCACTATTGCGGTAATGAGATGGGGCCAGTTCAAACTTGTTTCAGCCAAAGAGGTGTTCGGTTGCAAGAAGAGTCGAGATATGATGTGCCTTCTAGCCACTTCGTGAAAGAACAGCTCCACAATTGTTTGAGGGCCGGATACTAAAAATACAAGTTAAAGAAACACTGAGAAGAGGGCTCGCAGCAGCCATCCCAGGCTTTCTACACCATGCTGTGCTCATCAGCCCAAACGTGGCGGATTAAGCCAGAGCAAAACAATAAGCACGTTCAGTACTCGAGCTTGTTGGTTTTGGATTTCTCTTGCTGTCTGGTTAAGTCTGAGGGAGCAGCAGGAGATCAAAGAGCTACATACTGCAATGTTTATTAACCGCAATTCAATTATAAAATGGCGGGGGGCGGGGGGAAGGGCTGTGCTCGCTCTCCAGTCGCGCTCTTTGCAACCCATCTGCAGCTTTCCAATATGACCGAGTGTTTTGCAGGACAGGGTTGAGTGAGTGCTGATCTTGCTGTCTGGCTCTGTTCAAATGCCTCCCTCCTCATTCCAGCCCCCTAAGCAGTTCAGTCTCCCATTAGCTAACTGTTCTCAACGCCTCTCCCCAGGCTGCCACCTCCTTTCTATCTTCCCTACGTTTCACATATTTTTCCTGAAGCACAGTGGCCAAACAGGACTTTCCTCATGAGCGGGCCAAGAAATAACCCACGACACTGGCACACACAAAGGATGTTTTCAATTTTGCTTTCATGCGCTGACATTTACGTCGAGGCAACTGCCTCCTGAACTCTTATTCACGGAGAGTTTGGACTCTGAAGGTCGCAGCCTGTTTACAAAGAGCACAGATGCCCCAGGCCGGTCAGCAAGCGGAGAAATTCCTCCCGGCTCATTGCCCTTCATATGTGGCACTGTTGTCTGTTTGTCACCGATTTTCTCAGCTCCCTCTGAAGTGTCTCAGCCTCAAAGTGCCATGCAGACTAGTTACAGCAGGCTCTTACCTGTGCATTTTCTCCCTACCCTGCTCACCGCCTCTCTCCATAACCACTTCAAGGTACACATCCACCTAATTAAGCTGCCTTGTATTCTCCCCCATTAGGATTTCTCCCCCAAGACAGTAACCAAAAGCGTACATCTTTGCAGCAAGGCTTTTAAAATGTCAACGAATTATCAGTTGCAATTTCTCCCTTGAGGTACTGGCTGTGAACAACACATGTCTGAACTGTAAAGTGTCAGAAGCAGAAGCATGTTTTGGGGAAGTATTTCTACGTTCTCTCGCTTCCCTGAGCTGCTGCTCCTGCTCACTGTGGGATAAAGTCTAACGAGCAGGACAGATCTGGCTTGACCCCCTACAGTAGCTGTGACGTACGAGTGAGAGCTGAGCATGGCTGACACTGCAGGGGCCAGAATTAATAACGCTTGGCTGAGGATAAGATCCACCTTTCTGGTCCGAGTCCAATTCTACAAGACACTTTGTTGTTGTTGTTGTTGTTTTTTGGTGGAGAGCATGACGAACACCTCCACGTAAAGTGGAGTCATCCAGTCACACGTGCCATTAGCTCACTGCACGAAGCATTTCCCTCGGGTGGCAGAGACACAGAGTGCAAGAGGTATAAATAACAGACACCGAGAGCTGATGAACTGTGGACATCTTACCTAGTTTATGAGGTGTTAGAGCAGTAGTGTCTGCTAACTCCAACACAGACAGATGTTGCAGATTAGATTCCCTAGAGAAGAAAAAGCCATCAGTGAAGAGATAACAAAACACCTCCTGCTTTAATTGTGCTCATTGTTCAACTCAAATGACTTCTACTGCTGAAAAAGGCAACAGCGCACAGAACAGCGAGACCTCACATGGCAGAATTAGCACAGGGCAAAGAGTCAGCTCAAAATGTAGAAGGGAAAAAAAAACCTCTCGCAACCTGACTCCTAGAGCAATACTCCCACAGTAACCACCAGCTTTTCATACCAGGAAGGGCATTTCAGGTAGATTTAGCAGGAACCTACAATCACTCAAAGTCAGAACGGGGACAGTAGAGACTTACAGCGTGTCAACAGGGACGTCCGACGTCAGGCACTGGCTTGCCCACCTGATCAGGTAGTAGGACAGCAGCAGGGGAGAGGTGCGGTGCAGCAGATCCTGCTGAGACTGGAACAGCTGTCCCCCTCCCAAAACCATCTGCAAGCAAACCACAGAGGTTAGCAAACTGAGAGGCCAAGTCCAGAGAGCAACGGCGGGACAAGGGCAATCAGTGGGGTTTGTGTCAGACCCAGCACGTCCCTCCTGCGAATGTCAAGGCAGTCAATAGCCCGGCAATTAACTCAACCCACCCAGTGTCGCCTTAGACCAAGGGCTGATTTAACTATTCTGGTGGCCCAGACCCCACAGGGAAAGTTTAACAAGCAAAGCCACATGCACACCGAGTGCTTCTCTAGCCTGCGAACACCAGCACCTGCTGATGCCACAGACACCAGCAAAAAAGTGCTTTGCAAAGCTGCAACAACGTCAGAGTGAAATCACACCTTTGCTGCAGAGACCACCTCAGGGCCCAGCCCTGCTACTCAGGCGTTGCTTCCCTGTGCGCTCCAGCCAAGGGCAGCACGGCTAGGTGACACGGGAGGAAAAGCAATCCACGCTTGTGAAGGACATAAGTGCATCAAGGTGGCAGAGCAGCAGTTCCTCATCAAGGAAGCAGCAGGTCACACACCTCGTGATCTGTGAAAGCCTGGCACCAGAAGGGCACCTTGCAACATGCTTTAAATGTTCCCAGGACAACCTTATCCAGGAAGAAGAGGATTTCTTTTCAACTAAGAAACTGCTGCAGTAATGTTTCCAAGTAAATAATATTGGTTTAAACAACACTCCCCTTGTCTGGGGACTTGCTCTGCACCCTTGCGTCCACCAAAGCCATCAGCATGGTCTTTCGTGCAGCCACATGGCCAATAGGATGGACCCAGACGAGCCCACTCCATGACCACAAACACAGCTGCCATCACAGCAGCTGTTTGCACTGGTTGGAGCAGCCTCGCAGAGGCTGAAACCATGGCCCCTGGGTAAATGCTGCCACCGTGACACAAAGGTGCTGCGCACTGTGTTGCCAGAGAACGAGGCTGCAATCGTGTGTGTGTTGGGCTGCGTGGTGCCTTGGGAGGGATGGGGGATAGATGGGAGAACTATACGTGCTCAGGCAGCGCTGTTTCTAATGCACTGGTTCTGCGCTGCACACCTTCCCAGCAACTCTCACAAAGAGAGTTTTGCTTCCTGGATGCTCAGCGTGGAAAGAGGGAGTTAGGGTGTGAGCGCAGCGCACCGCTGCTTTGCTTAGGATGACAAAAGCAGTTGGAGGAGAGAACAGGGCTTGCCCAAGCCTGGGGCTAGTTCAAACAGCCTCCAGTGTTTTGTGGGAAGAGACAGAGCTCAGAGTCTGGCACCAGAACCCCAGATCCAAAAGTTCAAAGAGCACAGCAGTAGCTTCAAGGGTTGTACTCACAGGATCTCCAAGCCGCAGCAACAGCTGTTGGAGGATCAACAGGTCCCGACAGATCAGGAAACGGACCGTGGCAATCTTACATATCCCCCAGCAAACCACGTTGACAGCTGTACCACTACCATACAGCTGGGTGAGGTTCATGCGCATATTCAGATGATGAGCTGAAAGATAAAATCACCAAGATAAGGGGAGGAACTAGACCAACGAGGAGAACACTTGCTGAGCCGCCGCTTTCCCAGCCCAAAGGCACGGCTGCAGAGCTTTCACCTCTTTCCATGTCAGCATCTGTTTCGTAGTCCATCTCTCGGATGAGCACTCCGATGGCATGGATGGGGTTTCTGATCTCCTGCAGTTTGTTGTGTATATCCTCCATCACATTCTCCCTGCAAAATGAAAAAGATAACAATAATAATCAGCAACATGAGGTTTAAACTCAAGAGGGCTCCCTTTCCTCCCTTACTGATCTTCCCTAGAAGGGAGTGTATCTGATCAGCCTGGACATTTCTGAAGGGAATCCTCTTCTGGCTTGCAGTTTTATCACAGCGCCTGCAGGGACCAGTCTATTTATTCCACTCCCCCAGGTTACCAGGAAATAACAGTCGGATAGCTGGCATTCCACGAGGGAACGATTTCAGGAGGTAAGCACAGTAACCACATGGCTTCTTGACCAAGGCTCTGACCTCTACCTAACGTCTGCAGGCACCTGCTTTCCAAACTGCAACGTTAACCTAGTAGGAACTTGCTCCTCTTCTGCTCTCCATCTCACCTGAGAATCTCCAAAATGCCTTTTCAGCAAGGCCCCAGGCAACAACAAGGCAGTTTGGGACGGAAGGCCCTGCTAACATCACCAATATCCACGCTTCCCATCTCTGAGGGGGCCTGGACAAGTCTCCTGCAGCACAGGGAGAGCTCGAACATCTCAAATGCGCCTTGATGCCAATGAAGGATGGCTCCAGGCAATCCCTGCTCAGCCATCCAGCCTCCCTGCAGGGGAGCTTCTGCAAAAACATCTCCTTACGTGTCATTAGCTATCAAGTCCTCCAGGATCTGCTCTGCAGCCTTTTCTGGAGGCTGGAGGCGAGAGCAAGCCATTTCCATTATGAATGCCATTTCCATGGAAATTGATTCTCCGATCAGTCGAAGGCACTGGACAAGACAGACAACATCACGAGACATCTCCAAATCTGTAATGAAAGAATCTAACTGTATATTTACAAGAGATTTCAAAGTGAAGGTGGGAGGACCATTCAAAACCAGTTAGTTCAGCTCATAACAGCAAACTACTAGCAGCAGATTGGTCTCAGCCCCGCACGTCAAACTGCCCCCTCCCTGTTAACTATGAGGCTGAATTAAAACTTAGGAGCTGACAAGGGAAAGATTCAGGCTTTTATTATTTGGAAACTAAAAACTACTGATGCAACAAAAAACCAATGAAATTCCCTTCAAGGGATAGAAGAACAAGTCACAGGTTGAAAGGAAATAAGTAGTGCGGTGTAAGAGCAAAAAAAACCCAGAGCACATGCTCAGATAGCTTAGCTCTGCCAAGCAGAACACAGTCTTGTCACAGCAGCTATTTGTTTGCTGCACCACCTCTCACAGCTGAGAGAGGATTTGCACACTGATCTGAAAATTCAGTACTGAGGGTTTAAACCACTGCTTTGCAATGCAAGCCTTTATGTATGCGTTTTTAAAATTAAGTCACATTTTTTGAGAGGTTTGAAACAGACAGGGCAGGAACTGCTGGCCTCCCAAACCCAGCCCAGGCCTCCAGCTTTCCTTCTCTCAGATCCAGAAATAGCTCAACCAAATGGATGATGATTCTTCTTTACAAAAATATAAAAAAAAAAAAAAAAAATCACTCGAGCATGAAAGAGGAGCTTAGCTAATATTTTCCATTGCTTTTTTCTTGTGAAACGTCACTCCACAGCCAGCAAAGCACAGAGGGCACTGTGGCGACAATATTAACAACAACTTTTGCACACACTGGCATTTACTTCCTGGAGAGAAAAAACAGCACAGTCCCTCTCCGCAGCTTACATGAAAACATTTATACAAAAACATTTCACTGAAAACTAAGTTTGCAGAACTGGGCAGTTGAGCTCAGGGTGCTTGGAGGATCACAAGTTTCCTTCTCGTCTGTAACCTCTGAAAGGAGTTTACTCCATCAGCCAGACAGAGAGACTGGGGAACTTAATGAAACAGACCGCTTGCACCAAATCAGAGTAGGTCTTGCGTCCCTCAGTGGGGATGGCAAAGCTGAGCAAGGACCCAGCTGAGATAATGTTAAGCAGAGTTAATATGGGGGGGTCACCCACACAACCAGAAACATGAGTTGCTGCATTCCGCTCTCCCCACCAGGACTGGGGACCTACCAGCTCCAGTCTGGCACATCTGTCCTACAGAGAGCAGGCATGAAGAGGGCACCTGTTAACCACAGCCTACACAGGTAGTTTATAAAGCTACAAGGGCAAAGGATCCACTGATGCAGGTGCCTGCCACTGAGCAACACGCAGCCTGAAAAACTAGGATTCTTCCTTCTTAAGTTATCTGAAATGAATCATGGCAGGTTTGCAGCCTTGACATCATTTCCTCATTCCTGGTGCAAGCACGACGGCAGGCTTCACAAAATAAAACTCCCTACCAATGCCAAAATAAGAGAACTATCTCTATATAAAGAATTATGGAGTCAGGATCACTTCAAAAGGCCTCTGTGAAAACTCCCACATCCCACTGCCTGGGGCTTTCCTGATATGCAGCGTTCCAGCCTCCAACAACGAAAAAGCTTCGTGTCTCCTCACTTACCATCAAAAATGGCAGTGTCGTCCTCGGTCAGGAGGTGCTCATTAGACAGGAGATAGAGATGGTCCACCAAGGAGCAGGGCATGAGGAAAGACAGGGAGCCCTAGAAAGGTGAGGAGAAAGCCTTTCTTTGAGCTCCCCAAATCTACACCTCAGTCAGAAGAACTCCTCCCTGGAGATCACTGCTTCAGCTGGCCACAGTGGCCAAAGAGCCACTGCCACTCAGCCTCACCTTCTTCAGCAGGCACACCATGCTGGTGTAGGGATTCAAGTGCAGGGCCAGGGGCCGTGAGAGAGCTTCTTGGTACTGAAGGCAGCAGGCATAGAACTTGGACCAGAACTCCACTTGCAGCTGCCAAAACTCCTCTGGCGAGCACTCGTATTCTGTCATGCTGCCCTGGAACTGGCGGAACCAAAGCAAGACTTCAGATGAATACAGGCAGTGAAGCAGAGAGAAAAACTGTAGCGCCATCTTGTCCCTAACGACCAGTGTCACATCTTTACGTGGTTAAGGTTTACGAACACCAGTTATGGTTCTCTTCCCCACCACCTTACTGTCAAAATTTAAGTTTTTTCCTACAGCAGCAAATCACACAGCAAATAGCAAGTCGAACGAAGTCCATAAGAACCATTTCTATACAACCCTAGATAAAGAAGCAGCAATGATATCAAGACAAAGGGCAGCACTGCAGACCTCTAAAAGTATCACATGTGAAGATTGCTATAGAGAAAACCACCTCTTTTTGTGAACTTTCTAGGAATAGTCTGAGCAGCCTCAAGGATGAGCCACAGGTGGAAGGATTGCTGTCTTAGAGAATCAGACGTATCAGAGTAAAATCTGGAGAAGCAGGGTAAAATGGGGGAAATTCAGACACAAAAGGAGAGTCAGCTGATCTTTCAGATAGGTCTCCCATAAGCAGATTAATTTCTGGTGTCCAAAATTACGAGCAACAGCTCTGCATGGTGGTTACCAGCACCTATGCGCAGGGAGCAGAGAACGAACACCACACGATGTGCAACCAGCAAAGCATGTTCCATGCAAAGTGTACCCAGGGAGCAGAGACAGGAGAACACTAAAAAAGAAGAAAGGACTCCAAAAGAGAACGAGAGAATGGAAAAGCCAGGCAGGAAGGATGGAGATTTGTATTTTTTAAAAAAGTCACATAACTCCTTTGGAGAGACAAAGAACCAAACGAGGCCTGGGCTCACTTTGTATCTCACTTAAATTCGCTGAACCATCACAATACATACAATGAACGAGAACAAAACATGGCAGGGGGAGGGGGGCAGGAATCTCACCTCGCTTTCCACAGCTAAGGTCACCTCTTTTTTTAACTCATTCCATGTCAGATCCATGTGTCTCTCGGTTCCTTGAGAAAAGATCTGAAAAGCAGCACAGCAAACTTTTACTTTAAACCAGGAGAACTATCTCCCTGAGGTTCAAGCAGCATCGAGTGACATAAAGCAAACACGACAGCATCATCCAGTGTTTCGCAGGACGGAAGTACTAAAAAAACATGGCTGGCTGCTAAATGTGGAGTACGTGGATGTACAGCCAGTTTCACTCTTCCCATGGAAACGAAGGAAGCCTCCTGGCAGGCAGTGCACTGGGATGTAAGGAAGGCAGCGCTGCACACCTTCCCAGCAGCTCTCTCTTCTACCTTGCTATAGGCCACCATAAGGTCACAGCACAAAGAATCGAAACGGTCAGAGCAGTGGAAGTCTGGCTTTTCCATTTTTCCTGAAAAAGCACCACGTGTTGTCTTGCTCTGCCCTTAAAAGTCCTAGAGAAGCCAGAACTGAGCGGATATATCCTGAGAAACAGTGCTACAGCGGGCTGAGTCTCCGTTCACCTGGCTAAAGCAGCAGGAAATGAAAAGTAAGCTCAGCAACCTGCTGTCCTAAGGGAAAATATCTTCTGGAAACCCCACTCTGCCTCCTGCCATCAGGCTGAACTACACCCCCCCAGCCGCTAACTTGCTTCAGTGGCTACTGACAGGTCTACAACCTATCAAATGCAAACCAACACCCGCCAAGAGCTTCAAGGAATTCTGTTGCCTCACATCTACAAGGCCAGGAAGGAGAAGCTGAACAGAGAGCGCACCAAATGCTCTCTCACAAACCTGTAAAGCCTTCTGGATAGCTGCATTTGTAAACCGTCCAGGCGTGAAGAGATAGTCCAAGTAGGTTTCCTGCAAAGAGAAAAAGATCACAATTTAAGGAAACGTGTCAGAAGAGCATTTAAGATGTCGCTTCTGGTCCTTCCTCTCATTCTCAAACTCATCCCCTAGATCTGTATTTCTTTCCAGCTTCAGTTCACACCCACACCCTGCTCCAACCTCTCCCTTTCCAACCCCTTAGCAGTTCCCATGATCTACACTGCTTCCCACACACTCCAGATCTCGTCTCATCTCACAGCTCTCTTGACCAACTTGAAATTCTCCTTATCCGTCAATTTCTGGTTTCATAACCACGCTTAGCACTTTAATGCTGAGGTAATAAAGGCTAAGGCTTGTCCCCTTTGATTTGGAGTCATTTTAAGAGTGTATCAATATAATTTGTACACTTTAACTGTCTTAATGTTCTCCTCCTGGGCAGAGAAGCTTCATTACTTCTCGTTGCTATTTTATAGTCAGCTCACCCTGGGGTCCTGATCATGTCGAACTGTCACTTCCTCCTCAGGCAGTGGCTGCACAAAGACCTGGTTCCACTGACCCGCTACATTCCTGGAAGAAAAACAAAACTGGAATCAGCTTTGCACCACAATGCTTCAACACATCGCATCCGGAGCAGCCACCTGAACTAAATCTGTCACTTCCACCAGCAATCACAAACTAACAGGACAGGTGGGATTCCTTCATTCACATCAACCTTCTCCCCATCGCACGTGCTCACCAAATGACTCTTTCTTAGACTGACCAGTAGATTCTTCTGTCTAAACCTGCACACTCAGAGCATTTTTTGACACAGAATTTAATTCCCTGGTCTGGTTATGAGCTAAGCCTGCCCTCTCAGCTTTATAAAGACAGAGCTGATTCTTTCACATCACTGGTCTCCTCAAAACACCTTTCTTGGAAGAAACCAGCTGGTTATGTTCTGAAGGAGCTGTCAGTGAAGTGCAGCCCTCCCTCCGACATGCTCGCAGCAGACTCCACTCCCAGCGAGCCTGCCGCCCAGCTTTTTACATTTTTCACATTCCTGCAGCTGAGCTGTAGCTTTACTCTAAAGCAGAAGGAAAAAAAAAAAAATAAAAATCTGCACTGCTGGAAGACACAGTGGTGCATGTGACACAAACACAACAGTAGGGAGAACGAGGTACTGCTGCATCTCCAGACTTCAGTCAGCAAAGCAGGACAGCAAAAAAGTTGAGAGGCTCGATTGGTGCTTTTAATCAGCAGCATGTGAAGCTGTTCCTGCAGTTACCCCGTGAGGCTATGAAGCAATTCAGCACAGAAACTCACTGCTCAAAGTTGATGTATTTCACAATGGTTTGGTTCTCTTCGCTGTGCCACAGCGCCCAGATCTCAGCCGAGGTTAAGGCAAAGTCAATGAGAGTCTCCTAGGAACGAGAGTGCATATTTAACAAGAGTGCATATTTACCTTCTTATCATAAATTCAAGTAGAGCAGAGATGTGTGTAGTTAACAGCAGCAAAACATTCCCTCGTATCATTTAACTTTGGAAATAATTCTTTATTCACAGTTAAATCCCCAGAAGTCCGGGCCTCTGATCTCTCAGTACGCAACCCACCCTCTTGTCTCAGTGCTTTCCCAGGGGAGCCGGGCCCTGGCACTCACCTGCGAGGAGAACAGGGAGGATATGTGGTCAAGGCTGTAACGGTTGCTCTCGGTGCTCACCAACTGGAAGACACAGAACTACAAACACATCTTGTAAGTAATTTGCTAAAGGACGGCTAAGCCAAAAACCAGCACACCACAGAGAAGCTCATCTCTCGGGTCCCTCTGCTTGCCTGATGCTACAGTCACCAGACCCCTAAGGGCTGAGGGTAGGAGGGTCAAGTTGAGCACACCACGTGCAGCCAGCCACGGACCCTGCCAAGCCAACCCTCTGTGCCACGTACTTACATCACTGACTTCAGCCTTTCTGGCAAGGACACTCATCTCTGCCTGAACCTGAAGGATTTCTAGTTGCCTTTTGAAAGATCAAACCAGAAAAATGATAACACCACCATCGCTGAGCACTGCTAGTGACAATGTAATGCAGGCAAGTACGGAGACTACGGTGGAAAAGCCCTGAATCCTCAGGCCACTTGTCACAAACCAAACTCTGCGTGTTCGGATCAGAGCAAGCAGAGCACTGAAGGGACAGCAGAAGTCACGATACACACTTCTACTCCGTATGTGAATCCCCTGGAGAACGCAAAGGGCAAGCTGTCCAACAGATGAGACTACTCTGTGCTGTCACCCCTGTCCTGCTAAATTTATTATTCACCGCAAGAAGCAGAAGTTCTACAGAAGTCAATGTTTGGTGACTCACAGCGATGTGTCCACATGCTCCTAGGAGCCCAACATAAACATACTATCAGTATTTCCACACTTTTAGCTCCTTTTGGACCTTTCCTTTTCCCACGGCACACATGTGCTCTCAGGATCCTACCAGAACAGGAGATGAACAAGTGAACCAGCACTCGCAGCTCAGCTTAGTCACACAGGGAGTTCCACTCCCAAGGCAAGAGCACATGTATCTTGCAGTGCTTTGAGAACAAAAATGTTTGTTTATTCAGAACATAGTGCTCTCTCCAGAGGGTCTAATGTGAAACTCTTCCCTATTTCTTGCCTTATGGGCTCAAAACCAAGGAGGAACGACATATTTTCCGTGCAGCCCAAGAAAGACGCATTCGCAGAGAGAAAGCCCCGCCACTCCATACCTGCCCTCGCTTGGGCGTGTGGATGTACACGCCAAGGTAAAGCCCCAGAGACTGGGAGAAGGCCAGTCGCAGTCGATGCCCAGTCCCAGCTGCAAGCCGCAGGTCCCTGCTGATTGGCATGAACTCCAGCAGATCTGCAACCATCAGGCACATTTGATCCTACACAAAATAAAGCTATCAGTAAAGTAGCATAGGAAAGACTCAGGGCTGAGAAACTGCCCTTCTCCCTCATCCTTCCCCTCCTGGCCAAAGTCTGCTCAGCTGTTCGCCTAAAGGATGCAAGTCAAGCACATGAACATATACCTGAACCACTGTTTAGCTTTCCCCATCTCACCTGCGCCCTCTCCCACTGAGCACATGGGCTTTCGCTTTCGGAGCCCAGGCACGTACGATAAGCCTTCCCCTCCCTCCTGTAACGAACGCACGCATTCCAGTGCAGATGAGCCGTGAAAGCAGTTGTGCTGGTCCAATTAGCTTTGGCACGGATATTTGGAGCAAGTGGCATGCAACAAGCAGAGGCTTTTATTAACTTCTTGGTGACAGGGAGCCATGTTACAAACATGTCCTTATTACCGCTAAAGCAGTAGAAAATCCATTTGGTGTGCCGCCTCGGCCTTGAAATGTTCCTGCCTGCCCTTCCTGAACGCTCCAGTACGTTTGTAAATAACCTAATACCGCCTCTTACCCTACGCACAAGGCGTTGCCAGAAAGAAAACCTACATGCTTTCCAAACGCAGCTACAAACACACACCACAGCAATTCTCACAAACTGCCCTGAATCCCAGCGTGTAGAAGTTGACTCAGTGACAATGTAACAGCAGATCAAACCTACGCCAACCACTCAGCCTTCGTTTCTTAAGCCTCGGACTATGGCCTGGGCAGCGATGGAAGACACCACTCCCCCGAACACAGGCCTCGCTCACCTTATAGGACCACATCCGAAGTTTGTGGTCGTGGCAGAGAGCAAAGAGAAAGGCATCGTGATCTACGCAGTGAACAGAGAGGCTGATAGGCAGGTCTGACAGGCCACAGTCACCTCTGAAATTAAGAGTTTATTTCAACAACTTGAAAGAAAATCAAGGCTAATGCATAGATCCAAGGCACAGGGTTTCTATCACACTGTGGTTAAAAACAAATAAGTCCGTGGTGTGAGACCAGGAGAGGGCACGTTTTCAGGACTGTGCAGGTCAGCATCCAAGGCACAGAGGAGCCCACCGCACCAGTAATGTCCAGTTCTTTACCCACTTTGGTAAAGCCAAAACACATCCCTGGCTTCCCCAGCCTAGTGCTTGCAGAACACAGACACAGGATCCAAAGGGAAGCAAGGATCCGACCAGCCCCAAGAAATGTCAGAGACATTCAGGGTGCCAGGGGATTCACTCTCATTTCCAAATAACAGGGCCTAGAATTTGGCTGTGTGCTCTAAGGTACCGTAACAATCACAATCCAACCCCGAGCCCAGTCTGCACACAGATCATCCGTGTCCTTCACACATAACCTCTGCTGGCTGGGAACAAGCCTGACGTTTCAGAAGGGCAAGAACACATAACTGTTTTAATCCTTAATCTGTGCTGGCTGTGAGCCATATCCTGGGCAAATCCTTGGAGGCCAATTACTAGATATAACATATTTGTAGACACAGACATGTAGAACCAGCAGGACTCCATTAAGATGAACTAATCCAGCGTTCGAGTCCCAACTTCCGTACTGTGATAGGTCCTGTGACCCAGTTAACTTTTTTGGCAGAGTATTTATAGATGCTGACTTGCCCGTCTTTGACTTGAACTAGAAACACCAGGTGAGGGAATCAAAAAGACAAAATTAGTTCCACTTATTCATCACCAGACACTAACCTGATGGCAGTTGGCATCCAACCAGTAAGGAAACGCTGCATCACCGAGCTCTGCTTCAATTCCACAACCGAAACTGCTCCTTTCAAAATAAAAGCGATATTAAGAAATATATTGAGTACTTGTTAACAAAGTATTTACTGCCACCAGCAAGGGGCTTCACAGGCAAGACGTGGAAGGGCTTTTGTGTGTGTGCGTGTGGAGTAAACACGTAAGACACACCCAGCCCAAAAATCTAAGCCAACTGAAGTTCAAAGCTAGGTGAGGAGATGCTGCACCGAGTACTGTTTTGCAGAGGCGGATGCGAGGAGGCAGCCTGTTCCCAATCCTTACCAGGTACATCGTGAGGAGGTAGCTTAAGGACGAAGATTCCTCCCGAAGCGGAGGGCAGAGCGAAGAGAGCCTCTCCCTCGCTGCTAAGCCACGCCACTGAGGCAACAGAATTAGACGCCAGGCCTGGCACACTGGGAATCACGTAGTAATTTGAAGGGTCTCTGAAGTTGATTTTGCCAATATCTGTAAACACGGACTGCATTTGGCTCTCTGTTATCAGCTCCTGGAGGAGGGAAACAGCAGAGAGTAGAAATCCTGAGCACATGTACATGAGGCACAGAAAAAAAACAGGCATCTGTGGAATGGCAACTGTGATGCTGCTACTTGATAAAAAGCATTCATCCAGGAAGAACTCTCAGCATTACCGCTCCTGCTTCCCTTACTGCTAACCCATGACCACTGCTCTTTATGAGCAGATAGGAAAGGGATTTTGAAACTTGCCATTTTCTAGCAGGACACTCACTTTGTCCCCCCCTCATACACCATAACACCGCCAAAGAGGTCCCGCAGTCCATCAGCTACTTCAAGACAGCCCATGGCAAAACACTGGTAACGAGTCCCGTGAAGAGCAGCCCTGCAATAGCACAGTGCCATCCCTTGGGAAAGCTATCTAGAACTGGGTAAGCACTCCAAGAGAGGAAAGGGACCTGACAAGACATGCCAGAAGCAGATGTGAGAAGAAAAGGTCACAGCAAACGGGTAAACGTGATGTAAATTTTGCATAAGGATCCATCTTCCACATGAAATAAAAAGATTCTATACCTTGCTGCATACTGAGGGCAAGTTACAAACACAGACCTCCCTCTGAAGTGCTCAGTCCCTACCTCCAAAGAGGACTTTATCCTGACTGCCACAAGGCCGAGCCCCAGGACCACCAGCAGAGCCACCTCCAACCTCCAAGCTTCGTTTTGGTTTATGTCACGACTTTCATCAAAATTGGAGCCCTACTCACAAACCTGAAACTCCTTCAGCTTTGGGGCAAACGCTGCAAGTCTGATGCGGACAGCCTCTGCCTCCCCCACGTGCTGAGTACCTTACATTCCAAACAAAGCGAGAGATTTCCAACTCGCTTTTCCTATCTGACTGCTTTTCCCAGCAGTTTTCATTTCCACATAGAGAACTACCCCGCGCTGATGAACACACCTGCTACATCTGGCCAAAATCCAGAGGACTTGGAGTTCAGCAGTTTTTAACATCTATAAAGAAATTTAACTAGAAGAGTGTGAAGAGTAAGAAACTAAAGTGCAGAGTTTTCCACAAAATTCAGGAGATCCTGACAGGCTCCAGCTCCGTGCCTCTGGAAACACCAGAGGTTTCCAGTCTGGGGTATAAATCCCCACCAGAGAGCTATGAAACGGATCAGTTGTGGTGGACTGACCCAGCTGGCAGGTAACTGCCCCCAGCCACGGGCCCCAGTAGGGCACAGGAGAATCAGAGCCGTAAAAATTCATGAGTCAAGATCAAGATAGTTTAATAAGTGAAGGAAAGAGGAAGGAGAAGAAAATAAAACCAAACGAAGCGATGCCAAGGCAATCCCTCACCACCTCCTCCAAATAGACTGACGTACAGCCAAGCACCAAGCAATAGTAACGTGCTCCAATTCCCTCCCCTCTGTGCCACTGAACACAGCGTCACAGCACAAGGACTGTCACCTCCCTGTCCTGTGTCCCCTCCCACTCTCCTGCCCACCCCAGCCAGCTCGACTTGTGCGGCCGAGTAAGAAACAGAGAAGCCCCTGACGCAGTGCACACCCTGATCAGTGACAGCTCAAGCAGCGGTGTCTCCCCAACTCTGCTTTGGTCACAAATCTGCCACCACCACCACCATGTGAGCCACTGCAAAGAAAACCAACTTCATCCCAGCCAAAACCAGCATATGGTCCGCTCAGCAGGTTTAAAAAAACAGCCCAGCTGGGAAGGGCTCAGGAAAAGCTGAGCTTCCTGTCCCTCAGCAGCTCACCTCCAGGGAGCCCACGCAATATGAGCGTGACGATGCTGACAGGGTTTGTGTGAAGCCCCTCAACAGGGCAGTGCTGGGGGTTAACTCTGGTGGGCAGTGAAGCAGCACACAGCCACTTGCTCACCCTCCCTTCCCAATGGGATGGGGGAAGAGGAAAGGAAGAACAAAAGCAAGGAAACTTGGGTGTCAAGATAAAAAAAACAATTGGTTAATAAATGAAGGACAAGCAGAAGAAGAAAGAAGGAAACAAAGCAAGCGACACAAAGGCTGGACAGGCCAACATCCAGCCAGTTCCTGAGCAAAAGATGGCTAACTCCCCCCAAAAAAACTCTTTTCCCACTTATTGCTGAGCATGATGTTATATGGCAAGGCATAGCCCCTTGGTTAGTTGAGGTCATCTGTCCAGCTGTGTCCCATCCCAAACCACTGCGCACCCCTAAATCTATTCACGTGGGAGGCAGAATGAGAAACAGAGATTGCCTTGACCTTGCACAAACACTGTTCAGCAAAAGCTAAATTACCGACATATTATCAACAC